GTATGGCCGAAAACGTTTGAGCTCTTCTGTATATCCGGGTGGCTGAACTCTAGGTTGGCTCGAAATTGAGACAGAGAATGGTAATCAAATAACGTTTATAATCAACCAGTTATGCTGTGTACGCTAACGGGCATTTCATATTAATTAATCAATTAATTGACCTAAAACACGAAGTGCTGCAATTATGTAGTTAAAGCAGCGCTCGCCATAGAAGCTACTTCAATGGTTGACTAACAGAACTTCACTCTGTAAGGAAGTAAAAAGAGCTCATTCTGCCGCTACCAACAAGTGGATGTGTTCACCATTTTATGAGCAAAGTCTCCTAAGAAGAGGCCTAGAGGCTGTTTATATCTTAAGGAGAAGCAGACTGCAAGAATAGGTAGATGTTCTCAATGGGACTTTTTCTCTGAGGATATATCATCAGAGGCTCCTATGTTATTTTCGGTCAGACAAGTTTTGTAGTGAATAATATCAAAGCAAAGAGGAACCGTGATCCCTCACTGAGCCATAAACCTTGTTGGGTAGCGGTCATAATATAACAGCAGTGAATGAATCGAACTTTTATCCCTTCACAATAAAGAAGCATCAATCGGTCCTCATCATTGCACTCACCACTAACTTTTTGCCTCCACACTTTACCATCCATTCTTATCGAATGAAACATACTAAAGAGTCAAATTATAATACATACCTTCAATACCGAACTGATTTCCCCCTTCGGGTTCTGTTTCGTATATGGGTCTCGCTTTCCGGAGCTACTTATCAGCTCTCAACAATTGTTATCAGCCCTACCCGTCACATCCCACATGTCACATGTCTTACTACCACCTATCATCAGTGTTCCCATCCAGCCTCACTATTACCAACGGATTCGAACTCTCTGGGTCCACCGAGACACGAGTTATTATTTTTCCGCTCCAACATTTAATTAGTGCGAACCCCGTCCCTGTGGTATTGTCATCCACCGTGAGCGTTCTCATCCTGCCGCCTGTGCTCTTATCAAAATTGAACGTTCTAGGTCCACGGGGACAGGAGCTGTGAATTTCCGCGCAAACAGACAGACAAACAGACAGACGCAGGCGCTTTTTATATAGTAAGGATGCTAGATTAGTACGTGATGCTTCCCTCTCTTGCTTTCTTGCCTTTCGCCAACATATACGCTTGTACGTAGGTGTGCTCCGGATTTGAAGTAGCTGCAGCTGTGCCTAGAGTGTCTAAAAACGAGAGTTTTGGCATGCAGAGCTCTCAATGCTTCCCTCTTCTGAGGACAAATCGAAGGGGTTTGGAGCTACAGTACACGATTAAACAGGAGATGTGCAAGTGGGGAAAGGGGTGAAGGTGCATAAAGTAGTGATGGCATGGTGTATTGTGGGAGCTAGCTAAGTACAGGGCTTCGCAGGAATAAAAAAAAGCAACAGGAGCAACTAACCTTGGCTTGAAGCCGTAGAAAGCGCCTTGGCCGAATTCAGAGCAGTTTACATGAGACATTGTGCTCATCCGATGACAGCACAGAATAGAGGAGATTTGTAACGCTTTCATAAACATGTTTAACTGTCTTCAAGTGACCCCTCAGAAAGCGGTACAATGTGTAGTAAAAAGTGATCAGCTCATAAGAGTCCGCTAGCAAATAAGCGACTCTACTTCAAATCAAACTTGGGCCCCAATGATAGGCGCTTAAGTCGTTCAAATCGCTACGAACTCCGCCGCGCAACTGGCTGGGCGCATCCTCAGACGCACGTGGAGTCACATACCCGTATACGCATGATTCTTGTTCGAAAACATGCTTTTTGCTCTAGACGCCTGGCTTTCTTACTGTTGCTATCACCATACATCTTCAATACTTCATATTTCACTTGTTCGCGAAAGATGTGGACAGCATAATGGGCATCAAGTTTTTGCACCTAGGCAAGAAGTGACCATTCCGCAAAGGTCCGCACACTTATTCATTAAAAAATTAAGAGCAGAGCGAGTAGAAGGCGCACAATTACAACGGCAATACCTGATGGCACCCAATTCAGGATCAAAGTTGAGAGCTAAGAACAAAAGAAACATAGAATAAATTAATACAGGGCATAGCACAGCGTCAGGTCGCTAAATCCTAGCACGTTAGGAATAGCCGGGTGTACAAGGAATAAAATGTAATAGGATATGAAATAATGTACAAATCAGTCGAAAAGCTACTCACCAGTTGCTGACAGATAACACATAAGTTAATAATTCCGGTTAACTTCTTAAATCACACCACGATCGTTAGCAAAATGCTCACGATAAGTGACGTAAAACTAGAAAAAATACCTTGCTTATTTGGAAAATAAACTGCTCTACAGCAGCGACTGCAGCTGTAGGGATAGCCGGTCTGGCACCTTCAACCTAAGGTGAGAAGCCGTCAAGGCGTGTTAACCTGGGGATGCGTCCTCTCCACGGGATATGCGAGGCCATGGCAAGGAGCATAGCTGAAGGATAGGGCACGCCCATAAGGATAGCTATAGCTATATATATATATATATATATATATATATATATATATATATATATATATATATATATATATACCAATGGATCAATTCATTGAATGAATCCGTTCCCCAACATTTGAACGATTGGGATGATATAGGGGTGAGTTGCCAGTTGGAGGATATAAACGAATGCTTTCGGAATATTTTCCTGCAACTAGGTCAAGCCCTTGCAGACCAAATTAGACATTTGGCAAGCATAAAGCGGAGAGCTGTATCAGATGCAGTACGCGAATCGGTGCAGTGCGCGCGATCACCTTCTTCATTTTTCTGGTTTCATTCTCGTCCAGCCCCCTTTTTAACGGCTTTCGAAGCCTTTTTCACTTTGGTAACACCGATGCACGCAGTTTCTTCACCTCAGTCACACTAGTTTCGACCTTGTCTTCCATTTTTCATCATAATCTGTATTACCCAAAATTATCGTGGACTGTGCCTTTAAGCAAGTACGGGAGCGTGGCATACATCTTGACGCTAAAGCGTGCATCGCAGGAGATGGTGAACAAAGGAATCTTACCACACCATGCTGTTAGGTACGAATCGAACTTGGCATCTCCCTACGATTAACCCCGCATAAAGACATGGATGCGACAAAGGATTTGCGTCCAAATATGGCCTATTCGGATAGGAGGGTCGTTGAAGCACCAGGCAAGGTTGCAACCGTGGAAATACGCGAAGTTTTCGTGAAGGAGCTTGCATATTTTGGCCTGAAAGCCCAGGTGTGTGTCAGGTGAACCAAGGTAAAGTTGAACTATCGGTCGTAAATCAGGGCTCAGAATCGTGGGTGAAAGGTCAAGGAGAGAATCTGGGTACATGGTCAGGAGAAACTTGGATTGATCCGAGGGTAGTGAATGTCCCAAGTGACATGATAGTTTCACAGCAGCATGATGTGTTACAAGATGCTGAAAGGATCCGTGTTTTGGTAAACATATCAAATAAGAACCTAAAAGCAGGGGTTATACCTGAGGAACTGAGTAGAGTGGTTGAAGAGTACAGCGATGTGTTCGCTGTTTCAAACAAAGAAATTAAAGGCACTGTTCACGAAAAAATGGTTTTGGAGATTCGCACATGGTTTGTATTCGACGCCCCTCTGATACCAATTGTGCAGGAATGAGGTCGGAAAACGGTCTGGATAGGGCACAATAAGGGGCCGGAGAGTTAGCCACGGTCGCCCTCCGCCCCTCGCTAGGCTGACCACGAAATCTAATTGCCGTTCACCACTTTCGCATTGGAGCGAAGTTGGTGAAAAATCGATAAGCTGGTTGACAAATTGCCAGAGACGGTCAGCTGGTCGACCGCCTCCTTCTTGTACAAGTACTCGGCAGTAGTAGTAGTATTTCTACTATTCGACTAATGTTCCGCTCTATTCCGATCCAGTAAATTATTCTCAGCCGTCATCAAAAGGATCAGGCACAATAATCTCAAAATCTTATTGTCGTCAGTAGAATAAATGATATTAATAATAAGAAGCCAGAATCAGCCGTTTGAGCGTGTTGTGTGCAATGGCAGACATTACTTCGCATTCGTCTACAAGCCTGGAAATTCCCTTAACCGCCGTTTCTCCATTGTGGAACTCGTCCCCTTTTTCTCTTTTTTTGACCGTTTATATTTCTTTTTTTCGCTGTTTTTCGCGTTTTATGCTTTACCATTGTCCTAATGTAGGCCTCACCTATCACTATCTGTGAAATACCGGATACCCCTAAATTATTGTGAACAGTGCCTTTAAGCAAACGAATTTGGTGACCCATGACATTGATGTGGGTGGGTATCCCCCAATCCGACAGTAAAAAAGACCCCTCCCATACGGTGTTTGTGCTGAGGTAGAGACAATGCTACGGGACCTTGAGGAAAGAAATGTGATTGAGGACAGTCAATCGCCATGGGCGTCTCCCATCGTCTTGGTGGCTAAGAAAGATGGTACTACAAGGCTATGTGGGGATTACAGAGAAGTCAATAAAGTGCTTGGATTCAGCCGTTGGATACTGGCAGGTCTCTCAAAGTGAACAAGTGAAGGAAATAAGTGCTTCACTATAACTTCTGGACTATTGCAGTTCCGAGTCATACTGTTCGGACTGACCGCCGCACCAGCTAAGTCAAAAAGGGTAATTTAAACGGTGTTAGGCGACCTAATAGGAACAGAAGTGTCAGCATATATAGCTGATATACTGATCGCAACGGATTCGATAACTAGACATATAGATGTTTCTCGGTAAAGAACCATTAGCGTTTCGTCAAGCACAGCCAAAAGTAAAACCGCGGAAGTGCCTGATAATGGAACCCTGTATTGAGTTTCTAGGGTGGATGCGGACGAAGTAAGGGCAGTTCTGGAAAAGGTTGTTCGTATAAAAATTATGCCCGCTCTCAGAATGTTGCTCAATTAAAATTTTCTTAGGTATGGCTCGATATTATCGGAAGTTTGTTTTGAGATTTGCCAGACTTCAAAACCACTTTTCGATCTCACTAGTCCGAAAAGGAAATTCGTGTGGTCACATGAACATGAGGAAGCTATTGAAGCATCGAAGAAAACTCTTATGGAGGCACCTGTCTATGGTGCAACCCAAAACCGAGAAAGCGAGGGATGGATCGCGGCCTCTAATTATTTGTACTGATGCCAGCAGTGTAGGGATTGGGGCACAGCACAAGAGGGGGATGACTCGCTGCTACATCCCGTATTCTTTGCTTCCAAGCATATATCGGCCGCAGAAAGGAATTATCACATCACGGATCAGGAAGCGCTCGCGCTCATTTTCAGCCAGAAGAAGTTTCACTACTTCATATATGGCGTCCCGAGTATTATCAGAACTGACTACTCAGCACTCACCACACTCACTGTTTAAACGCACTGATGTTTCTCCAGAGTTTTACGTTGGCTACTAAGTGCAGTGTTACGATCTAACTATTGACTATATAAAAGGAACAGCTAACGCGGTAGCGGATGCACTATCTCGTGGTCCAACCCACTCTTCAATTTTGATTCCCGGCTTATGACTTCTCGAACTTCGCGAAGACCCCGACTTTGCGACATTGATTAAGTCCATAGAAAGTGGAGTGACGCAAGAGGTAAAACTCCCTAGGCATAGCAAGGTCCTCAGTACTGCTAATTTTCCCTTGCAGAACGGAAGTTTGAGTATTATTGACGAGAATGGTCTCTTAGCTACCGCTCACAAAGACGGAAGGTATTTGAGGAAGCTCATTTGGCACGCTGGGTGGCCACTTCAACGCGAAAAAGATGTTCATATAAATGAGAAAGTTTATTTTCTGGCCGGGAATGTTTCAAGATCTAGTGAGCTGGTGTCGCGGTTGCCAAAAATGCTTTTTGACCAACGGTAGGGCAGGAAATGTACTATCTTCACGACCCTTAGCAGTTACGAGACCGTTGCAGATTGTCGGTGTAGATTTGCTAGAAATGGGTCTGACAACGCAAGGAAACCGGTGTATAGTTACAGTTATCGATCGCTTTACCAAATACCTTGGTGCATATGCTGTTGCGGACAAAAGGCGGAAACTGTTGCGCAAGCCATTAGATAGAGCAAAAGTTTACGAAGTGATACTGTCCTCGAGAAAATGGGTTGACGAAAACGGTTAATGGAACCTTTGTCAAAATGCTGAAAAAGAAGACCATGATGGCTGCGGTATGGGACAAAATTTCATCGGCAGTTGTTGATGCCTATAACGCTCCGCCTCACAGAGCGACGGGAGAAAGCCTCCATTTTCTAATGTATGGATACGACCCGGCATATCCATCAATGTCAATTCCCTCTGAACATCTGTCACCTTGCGTCGTGGACTATGACAAGTAAAAAGCGGAGTTTCTTCGTGGACTGAAATTGGCAAGAGAGTGCCTTATTGAGAATTCTAATGAATATACGCAGAGAATCTAACCAATCTTCAATTTCAAAAACGTAACAGTTCTCTACTGATGCAGCAATAGAGCAAAGCCCTTTTCACCTGGTTGAACATTAGTACTCTCTACAGATAGTTACATAGAATTAGTATGAAACAGTTGGATCGCCCGAGTTACGCCGGGCTCTCATCCTTCATATGTTGAGTTTGAATGCCTCACTGAGACTGGGTAACGGAACTTCTCCCCTATCGCGGCATTCTCCCTTGCGGCATGCGGCAAATGTCACTGCAACTACCGTACTCACCCCGCCTCCCGAAAATCGATAGGACGCGATATTTTTCCTTAACTGGCTTGCTTTTTCATTGGATTTTATCGTTTTTTCTTCTGTTTCTTTTTAGTTTTCATGTTTATTAGACTTGATTAATTAAAATGACTCCTCTTATATAAACGACGATCAATACCGCATTGAAATTGAAGGGAGCGACCAGCCAATTCAAATGATTAAAGGACTCCCTACCTCACAAATTGCGCGCTCCAATCTTTCATCGCAATCCTGTGATAGGCGGCGGGTGCGGCGTGTGCGGCATCGTGTTAGGGGAGAAGTTCCCGGACCCACTGAGACCATCATTACTCCCTCGTTTCCTTCCCGAGAAAATTTAGTAGTTAGCAGCATCCCTACATTGAGTAGTGCAGAACTACACTGCAGAACTTACCAGCCAACATTCCCTAGCGAGATATCCTACTGGAACAGTGTATCTCTACAACACATGAAGGCTAGGCGTGTGAAGGGAGCTACGTTGCAAGTTAATGTCACATAATCTGAAAAAGCCTTTAGACAACATTTTTGATTTCGGGCTCCCCACTTTCCCTTTGCCTTGCTTCCGTATTTCAATCCTGCCACCCGCCAGTAGTCCTCCCAGTCCCGCCTGCATCTCAAGCAAATTTGAAAGCTTCAGGTCCAAACTAAAAATTTTCGCACAAGCATCACCCCCAGCGGGCGTAGTCTTCACATACCACCTAATATTAGTGTTTCCGAATTTTCACCTGCACCTCTACAAAATTTTAACATTCTAGGCCCAGACGAACAGGAGTTACAAATCCCCGGTGAGCTACACCTTTCGCGCACTCCCGCCCCAAGTGGGCGAGCCTGGCTTGAGTCACGTGTTCCCAAAGGGTACGGCTCATTCTCCAGAAAGGTGGGAGCTTCGATTTGTAGCTACTTTTACCATTCATTGTACGGAAGATATACACATGCTGCCATGGCTTGTCTGTTCGCATCATCTGCACACCTGTTTGTAATATTGTCTCCCCGTCAAGCCTACTTGCTCTTCTCGAGATACTTTTCTCCTGTACTGTGCTGTGATGTGTTTCTATTATTCGTTCCTGAAGAAGAAGAAGCAGGTCTGCTCTGTTGAATCATACATCTTCAAAGTTTCTCTAACGATGCTACTGGTCAATATGTTTCCCTCAGTAGCGATCAGTTACTTCGAAGGCACAGTTCACAATAATTTTGGGTAATCCAGATTATGACGAAAAATGGAAGATAAAATGGAAAACAGTGCGATGAAGACGAAAGAACTGCGTGAATCAGTGGTTTCGAAGTGAGAAAAGGCTTCAAAAAATCGTTAAAAAAGGGGCTAGACGAGAATGAGACCAGAAGAATGAAGATGAGTGGGGCGTAAGGACGAGCTATACAATGTGGGTCATTGCGTATGTGTGGCTCCTGGTAAAAATAACTGACTACGATGAATAAAAACTCATTCTTTTATAAGCATGAGTGAACAAAAAACAAACAAAAAGAAAACCAAACAAAGCAAAAATAACTCATCTTTTTCACCGCCTGGGTTAGGAATGAAATAAGGGATCCCGGCAGCAAAAAGGCAGAGGAGAAAAGAACGGGGAAAAACATCGCCTTATCACTCGGCGATCAGCTGGTTCTGTGTGGGGCCTAAAACGAATTATTGCAATCTGTATCGCCTCGACACTCGTCTGACGTGACAACGATCAAGGGGCGGGAAGACCTCGCGAGCGAGGAACAGGGCTTCGTCTGCCCTAACCGTCGAAATTTTGGGCACGAGAGGGATCTTTCTATTACTCTTGGGATGGGGGGGGGGAGAGGTAGGAGGCATTGACTGATCTCTGTTAAAATGTCATTTGAGAATAAATGTACTACGCCTTCCTTCAATCGCTTTTTTGGGGCATATTTAATTGTTCTTCAGATTCTTGGACCAACCATTGTTACTAAGTAAGAGGAATTAGGTGTGGCACAACCATTCGTAATGAAGCGGTATTGTCGTAATGGGGCGCAATAAAATGCAGAACTACTAAACCAAAGGAACCATTGAGGAGAACGTCCGTTGCGCGCGACCGTCGAATGTAGATCACTCCACCCACTTCGCGGAGGCGCACCCCAGTGAGGTCTCTAGATGGCATTCCAGTACCATCAAGTGTCAGTAGAACGAATCATTTGCGTTTTTGTCCATGTTATCTTCTCTTTGAGTTGACTGCCGTGGACCAAGCGCGAATCGAATGCCCCACTGACGACTGCGACGTCCGTCAAGCATCGCGGGCTGACCTTCCGCATGCGACGGCTGCGGCGTGATCTAGTTTCAGCAGACGCGCGCAACGAAGCGTACCCAACCGAAGTACAATAAGATCAAAACGCTGTTGAAAACTGTCTGTAGAAGAGACTGCTTTTAACTGCATATGTTTTTAGCACTTCTCCCTCGTACATGAGACACGATTTCTCTATTAACTTGTCTCATCTAATGAGGCAGGCTTCACAAGTCAATGGATGGGGTATTTTCTCCGCGAACGGCGTGTCGCACTCGCCGCACTCGATCGCGCGCCATGGAGGGTAAGGTTTGAATTCTCAATGGAAGGATACGGCAGCTGCGTGGAACCACTGCCACTTGCCGTTGGAATTTTGGAAGGAGTATCGCCGTCACATGTCATTCACACTGGTCGCCATCGACGGTTACAGGGCCGTTGTCAACTGCGCATGAAGTGACTCAGCGTCTTTGTCGTTTTCTCCGTGTCTTCTTCAATAGACATCCCACCGCAAAGAAGATAGATTGCTGACAAAAGGGCTCGCCATTCCTAAATTTCTGCACTACTAGTAATACAGCAGCAAACACTGTCGGGCTTAGATTGATTCATTCTTTCAGACCTTTGAACGATCTGATCTCAGTGTTTACTCAAGTGAAATGTAGTGAATACCCTGAAACCTCGGATTTCCTACGATGCCCCATAGATTTTTTTATCGATGTTAAGAATCTATGCAGTTGATTTATTGATATTTGAACAAAGACCAAGCCTTCGGAACCTACTCTTCTCGTTCATTTGTTTAAAGTTCGAAGTCTCCGCAGTCAGACAAAAGCCTTCATTTCTAATGCTAAATACTTCGATTCTTGCACCCGTCCAACTTCACGAGAGAGCGGTCAGGAGGAGAGTGAGAACAACAAGGGGACGCGCCTTCCTTCCGATTGTCGACAGGACACGCAAAGACTCTCTCTGGCTTTTGCAGCGAGAGATATTTCGATTTACAACAGCGTGATAAACGCCAGCGACTGGCCTGAATAGTCGAAAATCCTCACATTTGCGTATGCATATCTTTGAACGTCTGAAGGAACCTCTACCGATTTCATGAGTATTATTGTACTACCCAGGAGAGGTGGTGTAGGGTCAAGTGACGCACAACCACACGTGCATGGGTCCAGATTCAAATTTCGGATTGGCACTAGCCCTTGCTGACCGGGCCTTTTTTTCTTCGCAATAAAGACGCTGCTACGACTTTGAATAGAGATCGGATGCGAGAGCGCGCAGCGGAAACGGAACTACCTAACTCCAGAGGTTTTATCCTTTCTATTGTAGGGCCAGCTCGCACTGAGCACTCCTATCACTTTCGGAACGCATACTGCAGCGAAATAACAGCAGTTGAAAAAACATCGAGTCAAAACAAGCCATTAGTTTTGTTCTGACGATGCTCTCCATTTTTTCGGGAGAGGGCGGTATACCATGTTGCTTAAATGGTTTCGCTTCAGGTTTTTTTCGGGAAATTCATTTATCGTAAGTCACGGGACGCACACAGTATCGTGCGCAAGCCAATTAGTAGGGAGCAACAAAATGCAGTATGAGTGGAAATCAGTCGATGAGTTCACGGTGTCTGTTGAAAACTGTGTGCTGAGAAGACAACGATTTGCCCCAGGTGATTTTTAGCGCTGCTTTCTTGTAGATGGGACACGATTTTTCTTTAAACTTGTGCTCCTAAGACATTTGCATGTCACACAAACCTCATACGTCATTCACACTGACCGAATAGAATGGAGGCCAAAAAGCTTAACAGTTGCGTATGCATATCTTCGAGCGTCTAACAGAAATCTCTACGGATTTGATGAGTACTACTGCACTAAGGTTCGAACTATGGTTCGGCGTTCGAATCTCAAATAGCCCATGTGGACCGTTCTTCCATCCCTCCTGCGCCTGTAAATTGGTGCCAAACTCGCCTAGGAGGATGAAAAAGCTTTGACTTGCACTAGGATGGTAACCGCAAGTCATTGTATAAGCCACATACACAATTAAGATTAAGACATTACTGACTCTGAATGAAGATCGGATTCGGGGGCATATACCGAACACGCGGCTAATTGACACCAAACGCTCCATCCTTTTTGTTGTAGCAGCAGTGTTTTACCTATCAGCTCGCACTTGATTCATCGGAATGTAAAAAAGGGTGTATGCATGAAGATATTCGGTGGTACAAAAGAATAGAAACTTGGGTTCAAAGCTTCTACAATGTCAAGAGACAGCGACGGTCGAAAAGCATGCTTTGTTTCTGATACTACTGCACACCTTATATACCTGAGCCCTTGGCCTTATCATATGTCGGTTCAGGGTTATGAGCTCAAATAAACTTGAACTTATTGATAAAGTAGGTGTCCGTGCAAATAAAAGCAAACAATCGCAGCAAATGAAAGTGCATTAATCAGTGGGACAGACATTTCACATGGATCCAACATGGTTCACTAAGACGTGGTGAGTTCTAAACCGCATAAACGATGATATGAACGTAACTCACGTCTAGAAAAAGATTATGACAACCGTAAAATTTTTCGATATAATCAACTCGCAAATGGTGCAAATTATCGGACCACTCCGGGCAAGACTGGTGCAGAAATCTGCGTGGACCACAGTAGAAGAAATTGAGCTCTCAGCCCTGAGCTCATTGGGTGAGGCTACAAAATTAATCGGTGCCCATAGATATTATTTAAAGCTGGAAATATTAACAAATACTAAAGGGACGAGGTCAACAAAAGTAACTCACAAAATATGTATGTACAAATACTTTCAACGGTGTAGCAACACTCTTGTTCGCTGGACAACATCAGTCTATGCATTTTATGAATCTCATCATAACATGCGTTCGTTTGAAGGACAACGTGCAGAACGCTATCAATAGCATTTATACTTATCTAATGCTAGGTTTCAGCACATTTATAATGTTATACAAAGCAACGAGGCAGCTGTTGATATGAGATGACTGAGCTCATAGATTTGCTATGCCACATAGCTAATCAAACAACGAATCAAATTTGCAAGAAATAGCTGTTTATTTTCGGCAACAGCTACAATCGCGCTTAACTCTCGAGGCAACCGCGTTTGGGTGCAAAAACTGTCATTTTCAAAGTGGTTGTAACGGCCTGAATTTTCTGTGACCTCACAATTTCACCGTCTACGACCAAGTATGACCCAGAGTCCTGCGGTTCCAGTCGAAAAGCTGACACCTCTATCGCCTGAAAATAGGTTTTGTGTTAATGTTAGCCTAGAAAGAAATGCCGTCGAAGGTACAGTTCACGACAAAAATGATTCCTGAAATTTCTCACTAGCACGAACTTGTGACCCTAGAGGACAACGTGGAGGACGATGTCGGATCTATAGAATGTCACGGATAGGGCATAATGAGGGCCTCATGACTGGCTTAGCAGGCTTACGTACACACAGGATAACGAATTTTCAGGGAGTTGTAAAGACTGTTGAGGCTGCACCATTCGCACCGGGAACGCACTTTGCAAGCAGGTAGCAAGTACCACCAACTTTTTATTCTTATATTTTTCTTAATACGCCGATTTTCGCGTTTTCAACGCCCTTTTGCACTATTCTGCGCTATCCTTCCAATATTCGTTTGAAACTAGATACCCCAAAAATTTCGGTGAAACAAAGTATTACGTGGACAGCATCTGGTAAATTTTTGAGAAGTGCTACGCAATTAGCTTCTGATTGCTTTAGCTTTTATGGCAGGCGTTCAAAGGATATTCAGAAGCTCATAATATGACGCGCGTTTGAATATCCCTTTGAAACTATGTACATGCATTGATTGACTCAGACACACAAGATAGCTCCAGTCGTGCAGCGATCGCACAGTTGGAAAGACCGTGGACTGGTAGGTGCCCTCCTTCATATTTATGAATCACCAGAAATGATAGTCCAAGTAAAGTTTTTGTCGCCTCCACAGACCGAGTAAGGGTGCACATAGAACCCCTCCGCTCCGGGCACTTAAGATGTAGTCACGAAATTCAGCAGCTCCATGCTATTTCTAAAGAGAGCGGCCGGGCAACTCGTCAGACCATAGCGCTTTTGGATGAATTAGTGCCTTCTCCAGAAAGTGGTAGAAGTGAGCTGGTACAATTCAGTTGGCATTTTTATGAAAAAGTACTGTTGGAATAATAGATGAGCATATGAACAGATATGGTAATCCAACACAAAGTGTTTGGAACAGATAAGCTTCTCACAATGAGAGCAACGTATGAAAAATAATCCATCAAACCCATCACTTTTAGAGTTCCCGTCTAGATGAGATGAGGAACAGTATTGAACAAGAGTTTCGAATTTTTCTGGGTCTGTATCCAGGTACCCTGCTGCATACCATGAATGAGAAAGAAACTCTCCGAATCTAGGCGCGCTAAACAAGAAGTATACTGTTGAGATAAGTCGAACTATGGAGTTGCGGTTGCTGACGTGGACGTCCAGATCATGAGAAATTACGAAAGAGACAATACGCTTATACATGCCTTTGAATTTGAGAGGTGGAAGGAGCACTTTCACCTCCTTGCCAGTTAGCAAAACACCCTGAATCGCTTCATGGCCTTCAACGAGCTTTATGAGTCGACCATCATTAGGGTTGAAGGCGATTTCTTGGTCCAGCGCATGATCCACCCTAATCCAGCACGAGTTCTTTGCACTTCATTTGGGTTGTACTGGCCCTGATCTCCAGTTCGCTCCAGGCTCACAATTTCACAGTTTGAGTAAAGCTTTCGCAGTTCTTCCCTGCTGGATTTACAGTGCACGCGTATTAGCATTTTTGGTGCTCCGCAAATATGAAGAAGGGCTGTAAGTGGTTTATATGATGCGTGAATGCGTATTGCAAGCATGTCGGACACTTTTTATAGAAAAGCAACGCAAGCAAATGCATCAAGGATTCTATGCTCCGTGTCGCATCTACCAGTCCACTGTCCTCCCAGCAGGGCCATTGCTTCATGTTTGGAGCTGCTCAGGTCGCGTATAAAAGCAGCACCCGGGGAAAAAGGGCTCATAACCTTGTTCTCATAATTGTTTCGCAGATTCAGGACCTAGATTTGGGATCAGCGTTTGAAAACTTTTACGTCGGTATACATCCCATCTTGAATGGCCACTGCGACTAGTATCCTTCCGTTGTCAGTCATTCCTACATTTTTGCAATAAGAACTGCTACTCCCAGGCGAAAATCTGGGAAAGAGCAGAGTTGGTCGTTTAATCAGTGGGTTTCTTTCCTGGAATGGAATATAGCCTCACATGACATCTTTTCTCAATGCACCTTCGAAGTCCTTGAAAGTCCTGAACTTCAATACCTGAAGCAGGCTAATTCATTGATTCTATCCGAAGTGACAAAGCCTTCATACTGCAGATGAGGGGTGTACTACTGTCATGTGGTTATAAGGGGCGGAAGGTTGGAAGACATGTATTTGTGATCATTACAAAAATGTTTTTTTCTGCATTCCCAGATATCTAGCTTTGAATCAAGGAAAAACATCTTATACCTTACCTTCACAAAAGGCAGTTCCAGATGTTTATGACTCTCGATTGAAGTTAGAAATTTCAGTAGGTCTAGTTTACTCGAAACATCATTTCGCAGTATGTAGGTCAAGTAGATGCGATCGTCGTTCATTCGAGCTTGAGGTGCAAATGGTCCTTCGTTGGAGATGTGCGAGAGGGCAACCTAAAATTATGATGCATTGCAAGAAACAGTGGAAAAAATTTCACCAATGCTGAACATATTCCTAATTTAGTGTGTACTCGCCTGCTAGGCATTACGCACTGGTTACTAATGCGCATGGAAATTTGGTTATCGCATGAACGACCACGACCACGACCACACCATTTACGAGTAACGAAGGTTGTCAGCGTTCGTGAAATTGTTAGCTTCTGATATGAATAGGAGCAGGTACGCGAAACCCGAGCGCCTCCATATGTGGTGTCCCCAAGAAGCCGTTATAGACACGCCACTTCGGCGATTTTTCATCGGGTACATTAGAAACCTAGGTTGGTTGAGCTGGCCCACAGGAAGGTAAGTAGGAAAAATATCAAGCAAAAGGTTGAAATGCCTTGGAGTGTCAAAGAATAGAAGGGGATTACTGATGGAAATAAAGTCCACAACAAAGCAATCTACAGGGTACCGAAATTATGGGCGCCAAATAATAATTGAAGTTTCTCAGCTGAGAAAGCAGGTGGAAGTTCTATGCACAGCTAACACCATTTGCTACAACACGCTGCAATCGCACTCGACCTGATCGCATGTGGCACGCAGGTATCACTCTTCTCAGCCGTTCTTCAGTCTTGCTTTCTAGGACTCCAAACAAACTAGGGCTCGACAGGTCCTCTTCTGACCAGGGACCACACGGGGTAGTCAAGTGAGTCAGGTTCTAAAAAAATGAGATGGCCGTTACTTTCACCGATGAAGTCGGGCACTTGTCGTCGGCACCACTCGTGGACTAGCTTGGCTTTGTGGGCTGGAGAAGCATCTACTGGAAGGACTACGAGATGTTCCAGGAAACCAAGTCCGATCAATGTTTTACTACGTCCATCAGTACGCCCTTTGAGCACTGGTCTTGGTCAATTTTCACGCTGGCACAGAAGGAATCGCGAGCGTCTCACCCCTGCCAGTAACTTCTTCAGAAAACATCATTGTGCTGTTCTTATGGCAACATTTTTTTGAGAAATTGCACGTCAGTTGGTTGTTGAAGGATGGTTTTATCGTAAAAAATTTTTATCCAGAGAAAACGATGAAGGTTTCTGTGTCATCACGCGAGTGGGCCCTTGTCTGTTGAGATCGGAATCGAAGCGAATTTCTGCACGCGATAGGATTGTCAATAGAGCTTCTGCTTAACATTCTGCCATTTCGACAACTCCGATAAGCCGTGCCCGTTGACTTCCTTTTGATTGGTCACCCAGGATCACGATTTCAGATGGACCATTTTAATAGCCCTATCTTTAGTTCTACCTCTTGTTGTGGTAGTGTATAGGCCGCAATGTCACGGCATTTAAAGGGTCGGGAGCAGTACGCAGCGAAACTGAAATGCGCGGGAATCTACAGTTGGCGGTGGGCCGTGAGCAAGTAGTAGGTAGTTGAGTACTCGCTGTGGCCGAGGAAGGCCGTCATCGTCGTCGCCCGACCTCGCTGGAGTTCTACTGCCGCCGAAAAGGGAAGCCGCGTACTGCCCCGGTCGTAAGTTCAGTTTGGGTGTTTTGATTCGTATATTGTGATCGCTTTTACAGATAGTTTTTTTGAGTGAAGTATTTTGCTGTAGTAAAAAGAATTTCTGATCGTTTTATTGAATTTCTTGTTTGGTTGCTTTTGTTGATAGAGATTTTTATCACCAAGCAGTGTGCTTTCACTCGAACGGTTCGTAGCCGTAAGTTCTTTTGGTTTGTTCTCCATTCTTTTAATCTAACCAAAAGCTAACTCTCTTCCTGGTTTGCTTTCGATTGGGTGCTCCTTTCTATATCGTTTAACAGCCTCCTATAGGATATTATGAAAATCACAATAAATTTTGTTATGCCCTTCCACCTCTTACGTGTCAATGATATCAAGTGGCATTGAATGAGCCTCCTCCATCTAAAAGATATCGGGAGTTCACATCAGTAACCATGCATTTTGCAAGAGAACCTTCTTATGCAACTGATTAATAACAGGTAATGTGGATTAAATAGATTATTGCTACCTTAGAAATTTCTGAATTTTTGGCGCCCATTATCCATTACCCTGTACATATCAATTATGCATCCTGCATGAATAGAAATCTGCTTTTCATCTCGAAGTGAAGGAAAGAAGTTCAGTAATGAAAATGACACTCTCTTCACAATCTGTAAAAGTAAAATCTGTTCGGATGATGGAAAGCCACTGGAAGTGTTGGGGGCTGGTCTCATCCGAGTAGGCTCACCTGCCGTGGACCTACTCGAATGACACCTGAAATATGGTCAGCAATTTAGTACAATGACCTACCCAAGCGGTTGGTGAGCCTTTCAAGGCCGCTCTGCGGAGCCTAATACTTGGATACTCCTTGGCCCTACCCATTGCTCGCTACAACCATCCACTAATTCCTCCTTTAGCTTCGTCGGCACGCAAACGGTCTTTGGCTCATACCTCTCTGTTGAGACAGAATCTCAAGAGTACAGCTCGATCACTTCATCTTCGTTCATAAAATAGCACGACATAAGAATGCCTTTTGCTTTCCATTAATCTTTTGACTTCTAACATTTC